AGGTCTCTTCCAACCTAAATGATTCTATGATTCTATGATTATATTTGTGTTTTTAGGTTGAACTGGAGGTTCCACAGCTGTGCCACTTCATCCTGAGGACAATGCATTGCTCCCTGAGGGAGACATTTGGCATTGACACTGAAGGAAGAGCCATGCTGAAAAAGTCAAAGAACTCTGAGGACTTTGCAAATGCCATGTCCAAGTAAGCAATATCAATTACCATCAATACTCGTAGCCCTAACATGGAACAGACTGCAGTGTTACAGTCCACCCTATGTTCTTCCAGGCATAGAACACATTTCATGATAACATGGTAGATTTTTAAGATGGTTCCACAGCAAAACTCTCCCTGATATAATTTAGGGCTAACTTGGCACAGTTCTCAATTGCTGGTAGGGAAGTTATTTTTCCATCCGGAGTTTTCACCTGGAATGTTTTTGTCATTTATATCATCTACATCAGGAAATTGTTGGGTGGTCCCCTAAAAGATTATTGCAAGTGGAATGTTCCTTCTTGTAAGCAAATTCTCAAATAGCTGTGTGCAGCCATTTGTAGATAATTTTCCTTTGCTGACATGGTACAAAGACAGTGCAATAGAAAGGCATTCGAGACTGAAGTCCAGATTTCCTATCACGATCTTTAATGACCCGTGCAACTTATATTTTCCTTACTTATCTGCTTTCATAACTTACTGCTACTACTTCCTCCACCCAACTAGTCTCTAGTGCTTGTCAGTGCATGTTTTACTCATGCACCTTCATGCTTGTTTCAGTGTCTCAGTATCCACTCCATCTTGTTTCACAAGCCATAGATCTCAAAACAACTTGAGACAGTGTTAAAATATGTCTTTCAGAAAAAAATCAAGGTCTTATTTAAAGACTGCAATTAGTAGAGAATCCTTCCCATCATTTTGTAGCCTTTTGCAGTAGTTAATAATTACCTTATTCTAAAAATTTGCTTATCTCCTCTCTGAATTTGTGCAATTCCAACTTCCAGCCATTGCTCTTGATATTTGCTTATCCTTAGATGACGTAGTCTGGTGATACCAGAATGTCCTTGGTTAGAATTTTGCTGCTTTAATAGCAATACTCTCCAATAGTAACAACAGTGAATAGTAAATAGTGATAGACCAAGATAAACATGATGCTTTAGCTCTAGCCTAGCAGCTTATTGATAACATGTTCTTCACTGGGTGGCTTTAACGTGATTTCATACTAATGTTGGGCTTTTTTGGGGCAGGCATGAGCTAAAATTCAGCATTCAGGATGGAACAAAAGTCAAGCTGTATCCAGAGAAGGATGAACCTCTGCATGTACTGAACCTCAAGAGAGGGATCATCTCAGCTCTACTTGTGCCAACAGAAACAGTAGAAAATGTAAAAACAATTTCAATGGTAGGTGTTTTGAAAACATTCACTTTATTTCCTTAACAAATGGGAGAAATCTCACCTAGTAGTTACTCCTGAACATCCTTTTCAAAAGACCTGGAAATTCTGATGAGAAAAGTTGCCTTTCAGCTAGATCAGAAATTGTCTGACAACATGAACAGACACTGATTTCTTTCTTCTTTCCAGGATACTGTCTATGGAAAGTGTGACAGTGAAGTTGAATTCAAATCTAGAAAAGGAAATGTTGCAGAAGATATTTCAATTAACAGGGACCTGAAAGCCTGTGACAACTTCAGTCCCATCAGAGATTATGTCAGCCCTATTGCCATTGTAAAGGGACTAGTAAGTATAACATTAAAAATTAAACAATATTCTTCACTACATCACTTAAAATAACTACTACAACAACTAAATTTTGTATTTATCTTCTAAAAGCTTACATAGGTTTTCTGCACCCTTGCATTAGATCAGACTTTTTTTGGTTTTGTTGGCAGTCAATAGAGAAAAAGAGATGCAGAGA